ATGATGATGCTGATGATTATTCTGATTCTGCTGATGCTGATGGTGATGTTGATGATGATGCTGCTGACGATGATGCTGATGATGATACTGATGATAATGCTGATGGTGATGACGATGATGATGATGATGATGACGATGTCGATGACGATGACGATGACGATGATGATGCTGATGATGCTGATGATGATGTTGATGCTGATGCTGATGACGATGAGGATGATGCGGATGAGGATGAGGATGCGGATGATGACTATGATGATGATGCTGCTGCTGATGATGATGATCATGATGATGATGGATGATGATGATGATGATGATGGTGATGATGATGATGATGCTGATGATGATGATGATGATGATGCTGATGATGATGATGATGATGATGATGATGATGATGATGATGATGATGATGATGATGATGATGATGATGATGATGATGATGATGATGATGATGATGATTATGATGATGATGATAATAATGATGCTGATGATGATGAGGAGGAGGAGGAGGATGACGAGGAGGAGGAGGGTGAGGAGGAGGAGGCGGAGGAGGATGAGGAGGACGAGGACGAGAAGGAGGAGGAGGAGGAGGAGGAGGAGGAGAGAAGGAGGAGGAGAAGGGAGGGGCGGATGATGATGAGGAGGAGGAGGAGGAGGACGAGGAGGAGGAACGAGGAGGAGGAGGAACGAGGAGGAGGAGGAGGAGGAGGAGGAGGAGGAGGAGGAGGAGGAGGAGGAGGAGGAGGAGGAGAAGGATGATGATGATGATGATGAGGAAAAAAACAAACTAGGTGCGCTCGCGTCATATCTGACGTCCTACCCCTCCCTCCCATCCCTTACTATGGCGTAGATCCCCTCTCTATTCGCAATGTTGGATGTCGTAGCACGGCACATCATTACATGACATAGCATGGCGTTGAATATCACCGCGTAGCATGACATAGCATCGCGTGGCGACGCCCCAAAGTGGGGGGGGGCTTGGCGGCCCAAAACATCAACGAATCGGCACCGAATGTGTAATCACGGCCGATGTTTTTTTCGGGCGGCCATTTTCTAGATTCTGAGGCCTGTCTGGCCGACAAGCATCCCGTGGCATGGCCATGGAAATAATGACGCCAGCGGTGCAGCGGGAGCACGATTCGGAACGATCGGAAGCAGGAAATGAGGCCAGCGCTGCAGCGGGAGCACGAGTCGGAACGAGCGGAAGCGCGGAAATGAGGCCAGCGCTGCAGTGGGAGCACGATTCGGAACGAGCGGGAGCCCGAAAATGAGGCCAGCGCCTCAGCGAGAGCATTATTTTGGAAACAGAACACAAGCGAAAACCCAACTCGCCGACATCCTGTGTGGAACAAAATGAGTGCGCGAGGGGGGAACGACTACTCCGAGACAGATTGCGCCACAGGCTCAGGGGAGAGGAGGGTAGTACTCATATTGAGTAAATGTGGAGGAGGAGCGAGGAGGAGCGAGGAGTAGCGAGGAGTAGCGAGGAGGAGGAGGAAGAGGAGGAGGAGGAGGAGGAGGAGGA